GGCTGGACTCTGCTTCGTCCACGGTGAAAGCCGATCCAGCGATCGACAGCTCGAAGTTGTATTTCCTCAGCGACCAGCACTGATCAGCTCTAGGCATGACGAAGCGATTTCGTCCTCTTTTGGAAGGCCAAACAAAGTAGTTTCGCTTTCACAATGAAGCACACAGCGCCTTCACGACATGACAGCAACAACAATACTACAGCGAGAATAAAAGTTACACCTTCTTTCTTTGCGTGAACATTTGGGCAGCGTTATGCAAATCTTCCCACATCGTGACATAGACATGTGGGGGCGTGTTAGAACGAGCCGTTTTAGGTAGGTGTGGCTGACTCTTAACTTTTATAAAGAATATCTCTTTGGATTTGAGACTTTAGTCTTTGCAACTTTACAGATCTTCTTTATGCACCAAGAGCTTGTAACACTCCAAAGAGTAAGGAAAAATTGAAATCGCATCATATGACCCCTTTAATAAAAATAATTTCAACAGATGAGTACTGAGCGTGTGATGCTGTGTTTCTGACCTGGTCATCATAGCGGTAGGTGAGATACTGCTCTCCTGTTGTGTCTTCCAGAAAGCTTCCTTGTGGAGAAAGTGCAAATTCAGGGAGGAAGTAAGCACTCTGCGTCTGGCTCGCTACTCCCTGTAAAACAAGACCACAATAACCACATTAAACTTATCAAAGTACTGCGGACATCATTTAGGGGCCTGCAGCTAACATTTTTGAGAAAGCATAATGTACTGTAAGTATACAAAAGATGTTATCAAACGTTATCAGTGTTCAACTACTGCACATAAAGATCAAGCTGAAATGTGTGTTAATTGAGGTAGAAAGGTTTACTGAGAATACACAATTAAATTATTCTGGTTCTAGTTGATAATAGATAAAGACTGTCAATGACCTTTTGAATGTTAACTAGGTTAATTCACTGGACAAGTATGACTTTTTTTCTTCTATTGAACACAATAATAGACATTTTGAAATATGCTGGTAACCAACCGGTTTCTGTTTCTGTATGGACAAAAAAAAATACAATGGAAGTCAATGTGAACCAAAACTGTTTGTTTACCAACACTCTTCAAAACATCTTCATGTTACACAGAAGAAGAAAAAAACAAGTCATACAGGTTTGGAATGATATGAGGGTGAGTAAATTATGACAATTTTAATTTGAAATATCTCTTCACACATTAATATGACCTAAATAATATTCATGAGCTAAGCCTATTTGTACATTTTGTTCCAAATTTCCATATATATATATATATATATATATATATATATATATATATATACTAAAAAAATAGTCGGAAAAAAAATTTCACTCATAAACTGCTAGTAAATTTCACAAACAATTAGAAAGAAACAGTAAGTAACACATTACATAAAATATTATTTTAAAGTAGCTAGACAAATTTTGAAGTAGAAAGACATTAGTATTTTCTCTTATACATACTCCAATGCTCTTTGTTTTATTTAGAACTTCAAATAAAATTCAGTGTATAAAATGCATTTTATATAGATCAGTCACTCTTTCTATCAGCCACTCACAAAATAAACTCAGAAAACTCATATAGACTGACATAAAATCACCATCCTGACCTCGAAACCTGCCAGCTGCTTTCCATCTCTGACATGCCCAAAACTGATAGGAGATAAATGACTACAGCATGGACAAATAAAATAAAATTTAACTGTTAGTGTGTCTGTCACGAATCCGGTCCATGAACTTCTAATTTCATTGACTCTCGCACTACACACTGTTGCTACATTTCCCATCATGCATTGCACTGATTGCTCTGATTGCACACAGCTGTTTCTAATTACCTCATTCACTATATAACACCCACTCTAACCACATTTCTCTGCTGAGTATTGTTTAGCCTGTACCCCTTTCCGAGTCTCCGTGTTTTCCTAGTTTTTGCCTTGCCTTGTCTGTTTTCTCCGGTTTTGATCTTCGCCTGTTTTCCTGGATTCCTCCCTTTAGCCTTGCCCCTGTGACTCTGTCTGCTGTTCGGTGACCTACGCTAGCCCGGTGACTATTCTTGTGTTTTGCCCGCCATATACCTGTTTGCCTGTGTTTTGACCCTGCCTGTTTACCACGTCTCTGATATAAAGCTTTGCATTTGGATCCGAACGTCTCACGTCTCGTCAGCCCTGTTACAGAGTCAAAAGTTCATTGTGAGACAGTAAGAAGCCCACAGAAGAGAAAGCAGCTCCGGTTTGTTACAGCTGAAATTCCCATCGCCTTAGAGGTTTATTGAGGAAGATTAGCTGCAGCACATGAACCAAATCCTGAATCGTTCAGACCAATTTGAAGTAAGCTACCATGTGTTTACTGTGCTAATGCTAGGCCGACGGCTTTCTCAGAATGGCCTGGTGACACACTTATAAACAATTTATGGAAGTTAAGGAGGTTATAAAATCACAGCGAGCTCCTGAAAAGCTTTTTTCCCTTCCTGCTCATTAAAAGGGGAACTATTTACAAGTGCTTGAAGCTTCAAAACAAAATGTACCAGGTATCAAAAGTGAATCTAATTTTGTACCTGAGCCCAGGGAGTGTCTGCTAGGGCGAGTGCGTGAGGCTGACTACTTCTCCAAGCACTTATGCCCTAAACAGCAGCAGAGTTTGGCACATGGTCAGAGGAGCCGCTTTCATCAGCGACACAGACTTTCACTGACAAGCCTGAATTACAGTCCTGCTATCCATGTGTGTGTGTGGAAGGGCTGGACAAAATTCAGAAGAATTTTAAGAACTGGCTCCAAATTCAGAGTCACAACACAGAAGTTTATTAGTTCAACATAAGTTTTGCAACCATAAATTATTTAATTAATTTTGAATATTTATGTTTATTGTTTCCTCATATGTAGAATGCAGTAACTGAAAACATATATTTCTGAACTGAACAACACTGTCAAAACAATTTAAACACCGCCATCAACTACAGCACCACAATTTTTCCCTCAAACAACTCTATAGAAATAAACATTGACAACAAATTTAAAATGTTTTTAATAAATAATGTTGAGAAAACTAATGAAGTACTGCATTATTTAATATCTATCTATCTATATATATATACATATAAAATAATACAATTTGAGTTTTATTATCACTTTGCACTACTGTGAGCAGTGGTGGCTCGTCGGGGGAGGCACAGCTTCCCCAAAATTTTGAGGTGAAAATGGGAGGAGGATGATTTAATGTTAATAAAATTCACAATTCATGTCTCAGAATGTGTATTTTTTTGTTTGTATTTTCACAGCTGTAATACCATAACATGTTAATGAAGTTGGAAAGCACCGCTTTTACATTGAGAATGTGCCGAATCTGCTGATGTAATTACAACTGCTAGGTGATAGAGAAGGGGAGGGGGAGGCCGGGGGAGAGCTGAGCTCTCGTGTCTCCGTTGGTAAAAACAATTAGCCAATCAGCATCGAGTGTTCACTTTCAGCGCTGAGGAGTGTTGAGAAAAGAAACCAAGTAGGGGCGGCTAGCCTCCCTTCTGGTATATCAACCAATCATCAAAGACACGTAAATTACGTGATATTAGTTTGAACGTCTCCCGCTGCGTTGATAACGTACCAAGTACTTATGAGTAGCGATATTGAATATTTGATCGCCAACAGATTTGCCAAGCTGTCATTCAAACAGAATATATACAAATTAAAAAATAAAGGGAGAACATGCCTAAGCTGCTAACGTTACAGCAGTCGGCTCTTTTAACACAGACTTTTAAGAAGGGATGGATGTTTGCTTCAAGTGATAGGCCAGGCAAGTGAAATTATATTATCTTGCTGTGTGTCATTTTCTTTACGTTTTCTGACTAAAATCAACCAAAAAGCCATTTTAAAGTGGTTAAGCAAATAATAATAATAATAATAATCAGCAGGGATCCACAGACCAATACAATTAGTTTGCCTCCTCTATTTTAAAACCCAAGAGCCACTCGTCTGTGAGGACGACTGTGACTGTGAGTGACTGACTGTGAGGAGTGTGGAGCGAGGAACAAAGGAGACAAGGAGTACATCAATCGAGAGATTTTAATGGATACAAGGGAACCAGGAAAACACACGTAGAACTCTGACGAACATTCAATACCAGACAATACTGGGACTAAAGAACATAATTAGGACAGGAACAGGAAGGGGACCAAATAAGGGCAAGGAAGGTACATGGGGAGCAAAACACACACAAAACAAGGAACAAAGTCTGACATAACTCCCCCCTCTCGGAAGGTGCGCCCCTCGCCGTACAAAATCCAACGGAGGAGGGGGGGTGAGCACTCCTCTTGGAGCAGGGTTCCAAGAAGGAAGGACTCCAGGGAGACGCCTTTTCCGGGACCCATGGCAGATCTGGCAGTTCGGGGCGCCATGGCGGAGCAGGGAGCCATGGCAGAGCAGACAGTTCAGGAGGCCAAGGCGGAGCAGGGAGCTTGGGGAGCCTACCTCGGGAATTGTGGCCATCCCTGGGCTGGACGTGGGATCTGGAGCCCTCCTTGTGCTGGACATGGGGACTGGAGCCCTCCTTGGTCTGGACAAGGGAACTGGAGCCCTCCTTGGGCTAAACTCGGGGACTGGGGCCCTCACTGGGCTAAACACAGGGACTGGAGCCCTCTCTGGGCTAATCTCGGGGACAGGGGCCCTCGCTGGGCTAAACTCGGAGACTGGAGCCCTCACTGGGCTATACTCGGGGACTGGAGGCCTCACTGGGCTAAACTCTGGGACTGGAGCCCTTCGTGGGCTAAACCCGGGAACAGGAGAGCTCCGTGGGCTAAACCTGGGAACAGAAGCCCTCCGTGGGCTAAACCCGGGGGCTGGAGCCGACACTGGAGCGAGCTCTGGGGCTGGAGCCGACACTGGAGTGAGCTGTGGGACTGGAGCCGACACTGGAGAGAGCCGTGGCCGGCAGGCTTGACTGAGGAACGGCCAGCGGGCTGGAAAGAGTTGCAGCTGGCGGGACGGCCGGCGGGCTGGAGAGAGCCGCAGCTGGCGGGCTTGACTGAGGAACGGCCGGCAGGCTGGATTTCAGAATGCCACGGCCGACAGACTGGTTCTGGCTCAGGGCCGGACGCTCTCCAGACACCAGAGGATCCCTTCCCTCCAGCTTAGTCCCTTGGTGTCTGGAAGGTCCACGGGGGGATGGTAGTTGGCCCCGTACCAGAAGAGAGAGTTGATGGTGGCGTCATCCAACGCTGTCGCCGCGGCGAGCCCGCAGAACTCCCAGGCATACAAGGGAGATCCTTACAGGCTAGGGCGATGAAACGTGCTGCGATCTCCATAATCGCGGAAGGGGAAGGCACGGAAAACAAAAACACTTTAAAAAACGGAAAAGAAACACGGGGTGAAGATGCGCCGCTCACTTTTGTAGGGTCTGGTATTCTGTCACGTTTGCACTACTGTGAGGAGTGCGGAGCAAGGAACGAAGGAGACGAGGAGTACATCAATCGAGAAATTTTAATGGATACAAGGGAACCAGGAAAACACATGTAGCACTCGGACGAACATTCAATACCAGACAAAGAAACTTAGAAATGGACTGACTATAAATACACAGGACAGGACGAAGGGAAGACGAGGAACACCTGGGATCAACGATCATAAAATAACATGGGAAACACTTGGGACTAGACAGCTGGGAC